TTTTCAGGTACAATAACCAGGAGTGACTTCCTAGATGTATCTCTGGTCTGAGAAATTAAACATCATCTTTGGACAGGATGCTTGATGGTACATCCTGGATGTGAAGAATGCAGCCTTCATATGAAGTCTGACACAGGAGAGGCAGATCTCTGGTCTGTAATGAGCATGCAGAGTGAAGAACAACAGGCCCCATAACTGGAGGACATTACTGTGGGGCAAGGGCTTCCGCTTCTTGACATCCTTATCTCCATTCTCCAACCAAGATGATCATCACTATTTACAAAGGAGTCCAGCTCTGAAGAACACTTTGCTTGCATCTGGGTCAACTTAAGAGGAGCAGTAGGGGGAGAATGCATATTGGGGTTATAGCCACTTTTTCCTGGGCAGAGGACAGACACCTTAGAGGTCTTTCAAAGTGGTGAATTCCAGGCCTCTCTGCCATGCCCTGCCCAAACACTAGGAACAGCAGTTCCCCACTGAATGATCCAGCATAGTGAGTTCAGAACTTTTGAAGGATGAATGTGGCCCACTGCTGGGCTTGCTGCCATGTCATGCCTCACAGAGCAGAAGCTGAACTGATGGGGCAGAAGCCATTAGCAGCTTGGGGAGGACATCTAGGCAGTGGTGAAGGAAAACTTTCAGTGCATCATTCTCACAGAGGGAAACTGAGTGCCACAACGTCACCTACATGTAGCAGACAACTGGAGTGTGTGGTGCGTGCTAGACACTCCCATGATCATAGAAGCATAGAATCATTTAGGTTAGAAAAGACCTTTAAGATCATTAAGTCCAGCTGTTAATATAACACTACCAAGTCCACCATCAAACCATGTCCCAGTGAGTCACATCTACATGTTTTTAAATACCTCCAGGGATGGGGACTCAACCATTTCCCTGGGCAGCACATTCCAATGCTTGAAAACCCTTTTGGTGAAGATGTATTTCCTAATATTCATCCCAAACCTCCCCTGGCACAACTTGAGGCTGTTTCCTCTTGTCCTGTCGCTTGTTACTTGAGAGACGAGACCGACTCCTACCTCGCTACAACCTCCTTTCAGGTAGTTATAGAGAGCGATATGGTCTCCCCTCAGCCTCCTTTTCTCCAGGCTGAACTACCACTGGTCCCTCAGCCTCTCCTCATAAGACTTGTGCTCTAGACCCTTCACCAGATTCGTTGCCCTTCTCTGGACCCACTCCAGCACCTCAATGTCTTTCCTGTAGTGAGGGGCCCAAAACTGAACATGGTATTTGAGATGCGCCCAGTGCCGAGTACAAAAGGATGATGTGTGACACAGAAGCTTTAGTTCTGGTATGACCAAACTGCCCTTAGATGGAGATGTGGATAACTCATCTGTAGGCTAAAATTAGTTGTTGTGAACACTCCCTAAATGTACTCAGTTTTTATGAGAGAAAACAAAGTTCTAGAAATGCAGCTTGTACTTTGAGTAGGAAATGTAAGTTCTCAGAGCCAGTGGGACTTTGCTCCCATTGTCTGTGAGTGGTTCTTATTGAAGTTCTTCCTTCCTCTATGGGGGAAATTTTCTACGTGAGTGGAGTTATTGATAGTGGAAATTGCACAGCTTAAGGAAATCTTTTAAATAAGCCAGGCCCACACCACTCAGCACTTGCAACAAAAGGATCGACTCAATACTCAATAAGAAGCTGAGAGCAGGAGAGACTGAGATGCTTGTGGCAGTCTGCGCTGCTGAGATGTACAAGTGCTTTCTGTAGGAACATGGGATTTTCCAAGGGCTGCTAGCTTCTTGCTTATGTATCTTGCCTACAGTTCAGGTGGGAGGTAATGGAAGCAAGCGTGTCCTCAAGAGACAGTGGACATCTTCCTTTGTGTTTGCACAACTGCCAGAGGGCAATTAAAACAGATGATGTCTCCAAGGGCTAAACAAGCACAGATACCAATAATTGCTTGGAACACACTGAATTTAGTGTTTTGCAGCTGCCAAATGACATGGACGGAAAGCGGAACGGTGAGCCTATTCTGAACTTCTTTGATATTATTATTTTTGTCTACTGAACGTATTTATACTCGCTTATTCATTGAATAAACTGAAATTAGAGCTTTGGGGCACAAGAACTGCATTTCACAATTAGCATTAAATGCAAATGTAAACTTCATTTTTTCTATTCCATGAATGATGGCTTTTCTTTTAAACATTATTAGCTGAATGAAGTAAACATAAGTTTTCAAGACATTAGCCTTGGATCAAAGTCAGGGACGTAATTGTGAACAGTGAGCTCTTTGTGGCTATGTCTACACTCCTCATCATGTTGCAGCCAAACACCATCAAGGTCCCAGGCCAAATTTCCATCTCTACATCCATATTAAAGGTTGTTCAGGACATCACAAAAAAATCTCATCAAGTATATTTAACATGTCTAAATCCTGAATAGTGCTCACAAGTATTTCCTTAAATTAAGAAAGGTACAAGAATGCAGGAAATCAGGTATCTCCAGGGTTTCAGGGTTCTGTTGATTTCAGACAAACAGGGTCATTCCTTAGACCTTGAAACTATTTGCAAATGATAATAGGAATTAATAATAGGAAATTAGACACTTAAAAGTCAGAATAGTGTATTGCCATGACTTTTGACCACACCTGTGCTGGTAGGGCATTATATATGTATGTAAAACTACCTCCGCCAATTCTGGGTGGCAAATATATGTTTTACCTTGCCAGAGTTTCTGTATGTTAAGCGTAGTGGACCACTATGAAAAGTACCCTGCTGGACCACCAAGCTCAGCTTCACTTTTCCCTTTTCAAATGTAAACACAATATACTCTGGATATAATCAACTGCAAGGCTTTAGAGAACGAATTACACAACTGATTTGTCACCCACTTAGAATTGTCTATTACAGTGTGCAGCACTCTTCTAGCAACAATTACTCTGTGACATAAGACAACAGGGCAAGAAGGTTTAAGGGACCAACAGCTGAGTGACATTTTGATGCTGTCCTGCTTATGAGATTTATTCATTCTTTCTGAATAACTTTAGGATGGGCCTCTCAATCATAATACACATCAGCCTTTAGCCACTATTATTCTTTTCGTTGTTTCATTCCTAAAGCCCTTGTCTCCATTGTTGTTTATTTTCCTATTAGCTTTTTTTCCTTATTATTTTTTTGTTACACTTTGTCATTAAATCTCTTGTCTTCCAATATCTGGCACTCTTCTTTTAACTCAATGTCTGGGGAGTTGGACAACTTGGGTTCAGGTTTTAAAATAAATATACCTAACCATTCTGGTTCCTGAGAAAAGAATTGAACCCATAAAGGAAAATTTAGTGAAAAGCTCATATGTAAATAAACTCTCCTTTTAAAATAAATATCTTTTTTTTTAAGACAGTCTTAAGGATTTTGAGTTCTGCTTTGTGGATTTTTTTTCAACATACAGTCAGCAGTAATGCCTCCAACAGTCTCATTAAAACGGCCAGTGCCCAGGAACACAGACATAACAAAGTGAGTCAGGAATTATATGACCTGATCAGGGGGGTGAACATCCAATTGAGAACACGCTATTTTACGGATCGGTATAGAATCATAGAATCGTAGAATCGTTCAGGTTGGAAGAGACCCTTGGGATCATCGAGTCCAACCATCTACCCTACTCTACAAAGTCCTCCCCTACACCATATCCCTCAGTACCCCATCTAAACGTCCCTTAAACACATCCAGGGATGGTGACTCAACCACCTCCCTGGGCAGCCTATTCCAATGGCCGATCACTCTCTCTGTGAAAAATTCCTTCCTAATGTTCAGGTTATATAAAAGGTAAAATATTAACTGCAGGAGGGGATCTGTCTCGGACTTATGAACTAAGATTGTTCACTTTTAGTGACAAGAACTGTGCAGTCACAGCAGGTCACCACACACTTTGTGGGATTGGAACTACTGTGGGACACTTAGGCAAAGATTGTTATCTGGAAACACATGGTCTCTTTGCAGGACCAAGGGTATCCAGCACAGTGTCCTCACGTGTTGCAATATGCAAACAGCCCTGCATCGGATACCTTGTGGGTGCCCACATCTTAGCCACAAATAAGCAGCAACGCAAAGGCAAGAGATGGCATAAGCCTTTTGAACATTAATAGGACACCCTCAGGAAAGAAACACGTATCAGCAAAAGATGTATCAGCAAAACACACAGGCTCACACGTAGAATGGCATGGTCAATACATGAACACATGGTACATATTAATACCATTACACCACCATTAATTTTAACAAAGATGGATTCACTTTCATTACAAAAACTCACATGGAAGTTGTAAGGAGGAAAAATAAGAACTTAAGAGAATGATGTGCAAGTGAGTCTTTTCCCACAGAACTACCATGGTGGCAGTAATTGTATTATTTGAAAATTGGTTTTCTTAGTAAAAAGGCTGCTCAGTTTTATAAGCAGAAAGTTACTTCATGTTCATCATGTAGTATTTGAAACAACTGGATAAACCAGAGTAAATATCTTTAAAAATAGATTTATACAACTTGTTTTCATAGTGAAGAGTGATTTCTTCCTATGCATGCTGTCTTAAGAGTAACTGTACTAGTTCCTGGAGTTCTGCGAACGTGTGACAATCTCCCCTTTTATTAAAAAAGAAAGGATAGGCACATTCCTACTCTTCACTAACATACACATTAACATCACATTCCTAAGAGAATGTGAATGTGATTTGAGCATACCTTAAGGCTCAAAAATCAAAAGGTAAATAGAAAGACACCAGCACTCATATTGCGAGTTTTACATGAGGATCACATTTCTTTTAGCTGTGACTCATGATTTCTAAATGCTTCAGTGAGTTGTATAGAGATTGGGTTGCATTAGTTGCTAGAGGAATTCGCAGTAAGATTCAGACTAACCCTAGAAAGGCAATTGCCATTCATAGATTCTAAGAATTTACAAAAATGCATACAGATCACACTAATTTGGAATCTGGAAAGAAAGGTAAAACAGGTATTAAGATAGAACTTCAAATCCTAGTCCCAATGAAGTTGACAGAGGTATGGTTGCTAACTTCCAGAACACCTTTTCACCCAATGGAAAAAATGGCAGTTTCCTGAGATCATCAGTCCTTTAAGGATGAGGGGGAAAATATACTTTAAAAAGTATATTCAAAAACAACCACCATTTTTTCCCTGGTGAAGAAGTCTTCACATTCCCTGCAGTCAATGCCTTTTAAAAAGTATCTACTTTCAGTATCTACTTAAAAATTTACTATGTGGAGGTATTGATACTAATGAGACGTTAATATTATTGATACTAATGTATACTATTAAAGAAATGTGGAGATTTTGGATTCGTAATGGAAGTATCCTTACTTCAGTACCAACCAGAAGACATATTTTTTAAACATTTCAAAATATTTTGGCACACAGATTTTAAAGCATGACTTGGAATACGCAGACTTTTCAGTCAGCCTTTCTGTGGAGCTACATGCTATAGCTTTGCAGGAGATGATTCAATTGTTAACAATTTAAGTTAGTATTTACTGCCCTCCTGCTGCTAAGCAAACAGTTTTATAAACTAACTCATGCCCTTGCTGTAATAAACAGACAGAACACATGAGTTGCATGGTAAAATCGCAGGATCTTCAACTCCTGTAGGACAGCACTACAAGGAAGGTGCCCAAGTGGGTGTTAGGCAGCAGAGCGCTTGCTGGAACGCTATCTGGCCTGGGACCATCTGCTCCTGGTTTGGCCAGTGTCACAGGCAGCCAGGGATAAGGACTGAGTGGGGGGGCACATTCAAAGATTCTTCCTAAATAGCTGGTGGAAGGCATGGGATGCTTCTCACTGAGAAGTAGGAGAAGCAGAACATCAGAAGCATTTCTAAAGGAGTTTGGGGTACCAATTAACTACTATAGATTGGGAAATAGGTCAGAGCAGGTGCATTTATGTTAGCAGTTTGCAGTGTATCACAGTTCACATCAAGTGTAATCTTCCTTACAGCTGGAGTTCTGTGCACGCACATCACCACTGCCCGTGAAATGGCTCCTGTGCCAGGGAAACAATGAGCAGGCTGTGCACAGTTGTGCCACGTAGAACGCACCAGTCCTTTGTCTAGCGCTTCTCCACCTCAACAGAGTTGGGTTAAAGGAGGCTTAGATGAACAACAGGACAGGTTCTACATTCTCAGGTGTGGCTGGACAAAAATGGAGGGTGGAGTAGAGAAGTTAATCATCACCATTCATCATCATTGTCATCATGGAAGATGGCTTCAAGCCACTTTTGTACCTCTGTAGACTGGCTTGATGTTCAGCGTGTAGCTCCCTCACAGCTACCTTAACTCCCGCCCTGCAAATGTTTCTCAATCACAAGCTTAGCAACTTCAGTTTTGACATCAGCAGGGCACATCCACACCATCCTCACTGCAGCGGACTGTGAGGAGGAATCGTACAACTGTTCCTGCAGTTGGGTTTTGTTTCTGAACCACTTCTGCATCTGGTGTTGTAAGGCCAGTCAGAGTTAGGTCAAAACGGAAACTGAGCCTCCTACATTTATAGGTATGATAAGCAGCAGGTAAGACCAGGGTTTTGTCAACCAAGGTGGACAGATAGAGTCATGCACATCAGGAGACTCTGAAACCTCCACGAGGTTCTCCAGTCAAAGGGCCAATCCAGAAGGGCCAGCACACACCTCACGCTCTGGGAAATGCTAGTATGACATCTTTACATTGGCACAATCATTTTGACAAGTACACATTTCTCTATCTAGTTAGGCAGATAGTTTCAACTGTAATGTATTTGAAAGACTGCATTTTCCCAAATAAAAGAGCAAAACACATCCAGGCAATGGCAACCTTAATGAGGGTAGTGCTCAGCCACCGACACCGAGGGTGCAACTTCCCAGAGCATTCATGTCGTGATACTTCGTCCGTCTCCTCACGGCTGTGGCGTCCTGATGCCGGACTTGTGAGAGAGAAAAGTTCACCCAGCGTCATCAGTGGCTGCCACCTTGAGGGAGGGCCCAAGCACGGCGCCCATCTGGGCTCTGCGGGTGTTTTCAGCCCTTGAGAGGCTGCGTTTGCAACCTGGAAGTGGCATTAAAGCACGCGCGGTGCTCGGACCGAGCTGCGGGGTGCCGCACGCCCGGGGGTGCCCTCACCGCCTCCGATCACCGCCTCAGAACCCCCGCCCCAGGCCCGGTGGCGAAGGGGACTCCCTCGCCACAAGCCCA